CAATGACCTGCGCCCCTGCGTGACCTATGATCCGGCGGCCTGTGTTCTCCTGAGTCTGGTTCCGAGGCAGAGGATCCGGCGATGTGCGATGGTGGCATGCGCTCCTGGGCCATGTAACTGTGAGCGAGGTGAACACGCACGGAGGGGAACCTCCCACTATCTGCTGTCAAGCTTCAAGAGTACGATGCGGAGTGCTATCAGTCCAAAGGGCCATGGCTGCGAAAGAAAACCCCAACAGGAGAATTCCTGTGCTCACCCAGAACGACGTGCCTGACCTGAACGCGTGCCGAAGCAGCGGCCTGCACTCCCACCTCCTTGACCAGTCCATCGCCTCCAAATCTGGTGGCTGCCACAGCTGGGCCGAGTACGCCCCGTCCACCACACTGTTGGCAAATCAATAAACCAGGACCTTTGATGGAGGGGGGTCCATTGCCAGGCCTGTAACCAGATAGCGTAGGCAGATTCGTGTAGCCATGTCGTGCCATAGTGGTTTTGCAGATCCAGGCTATCAGGGAATGACACATCATTGTTGCGCAAACCCAAGCATAAATGATCAAGTGCCAGCTGATATACCATGATGTGCAGCGTATCTGGCCACCGCCACCATGTGGCTCTAGCAGGGATTTTGCTGGGTCCATGAGTACACTGGGCCATGGCAGACCTAGCATCACCGAAAAGAAGCCCGAAGAACGAAAACAACTCCTGAACAAACCAAGCTCAGCAAGCTCCGAAGAAAGATGGGTCAAAATTGGACTCCTACCTACTGGACGCGTCGTTGCGAGCCGAGACGCTTAGTAGTAGTAGTAGTAGTAGTAGTAGTAGTAGTAGTAGTGGTAGTAGTGGTAGAATAGTATTAACTCGCGTAACTACAGACTTAACTTTGTCGCAGGGGATGCGGGAAGCTCAATTGGTAACTAGGTTTCGGGAGTGAGATAGTTCCGGGGCTGGGCAGCCATTCAGGGCTTCAGAGCTTAAACGCTTATCCTGATGTTCAGATAGATTCCAAGAAGCTGCAACAGTATTCTCGGGGTTGAATTGAAAGACGATGCAAGCAAGCGTTTGACGTCTATGATCCCTATACCCTGTACAGAGAGTTTCTGCACTCCTCCACTGCATTGAGTTGTTATAGAGCTCTGAAATCAGGGTTTGCAACCCTTAACCCACTAGTCTTAGCCAATTGAGCATAGGAGCCATGCTAAACATACTGCAAACCCTAAAGCCTATATCATGAAGCACCTTCACCAAACCACTTAATCCCCACAACCCCAAGATCAATTGAAGGTTGCCGATATAGAACCCTTGGATGAACCCGTCATGGAGCC